CTAGACATAGGTTTGGCCTGGGGTGTCAGATCAAAGGACATGATGTTATGTAAATATTGTGTCTTGGTAGTGCTTGATATCAGGAGAGTAAATAAAACTGGTAGGAAGGCAGAGGTCAGCCTTCACATCCTGCATTCACGTCTCTTGTCTTGGGCTTGCCCTGGTGTGAAGCAACTAGCACTGTCCCACGTATGCTTCAGAAGTTACTACAGGACAGAAGAATTTTCCAAAAGGCAAACTGATGCCTTTCTTTTGGAGAGTAAAATACTTTCATCATATGGACATAGGCCATCCTATGCCAGATGGCCTAATTGTCACAGAGTGGTCACAAGCCACAGGACCGAAAAATTGTGAAGAAATTTATTTTAATAGACTTTGAAATAATTTTGAGAAATTTTATACATGGTTGTAACAACAGTAGGTGGAATTTTCCAGCATATGTAAAGCACAGAAAAGAAAACAACCCCACAATCCAAAGTGACAGAAGACACTGAAATGATACAGGGACTTCTACTAAATGGAATAACTGATTGTCTGCTGATGCTCATAAATCTGCTAAATCTGTAGACTAGAAAAACAGCAGAACTGATAATTACCTCTACTGCTGCCGGCAGAACCTTCTAGTCATCCAATAAATGAGTTACTACCAAGCATGTATTTAAGATTATATTAAATTTCAGCTCATGAAATGAAATTTTTTTTTTTTTTTGAAATTATTTGCTTCTATGTAAACAGCTATCTTTACTAGCATAGTTTAGTTTTAAAAAAAATATTCCTGTTTAAAATTTGCCATACATTACCTGGACATTTCTGCCAAGAACCTGGATCCAAGCCACTTTTCCATATCTTTATAAACCTCTTCTACTTTCATTGTTAGCTCTTCAACAAATGCTAAAGCTTTTCCTTTTATCAGTTCTAGCCGAGATTTTGCAGCTACCTCTGTTTAAACAGTAATGTCATAATAAGTCATATTTAGAAAATTTGAGGAAAATTCTCTGTCTTAAGCACCAGAAGTTTAACATGTTCACTTGTTCTTAGCCAGTAAAATGTTTATTTAATTTATCATAGTATTGAACAAATTATTTTTCACAATAATTTCTATTGCGCTATGTATTTTACAAAAGTGTGTCTTCTATAAGCCTAAGAATTCATGAGGTAACAAATATTTTAATAAAACTAACACAGAGGTGCAGAAGATTTAAGTAGACAGTGACATCAAACTAAATTAACACTATACAGCAACAGACCGAGAAGCTTAATGATGCAAGTGTGAGTACACTGTTATGGCTACATTTTAAAGAAAACATATCTAAATCATTATGTATGTTAATCACAATAAAAGTTTGCTTTTCTGTTTCGTATCTGAGCCCTTTAAAACTAACCTCACCGATTTTGCTCCAAGCTTCCTACATATGACAATTTTCTACCCTAAAACTCAGGTTACATTAGAAAAGAACACTATATAAGAGTTAATGAGCTCTTGAGAAAATAATTCACCTTTACTAAAATTATATGTAGAGTATTTACATGAAAATTTTAAAAACATTGAGAATTTCATTATTCAGATTTTTTTTGTTTTCAGAATGGGAAGAATTGAGAAAAAAAACCAACAAACCAGTCTTTCACTGAAAGGGGCTAAAAGAACAAGATATGGGAACAAGTCAGCAATGTTCAAAGTAAAAAGGATGTCAAGTGGATGAAAAGAAAGCTAAGGTAATGTATTGAGAAACACACGGAACAGGCACTGAAAGACATTAAAAGCCTTACAAAAGGAGAGTAAGAAAAAAGGACCAGTAGCTAGAGATTGAAGGCAAATTCAGTGTTCACCTTGATTCTTCTTCATATTTAACTTTCTGTACCGCAGAATCTTTTAAACAATTAATATTATACAGTAATTCGTACAGTGACTTCAAAGTTAAAGACTGTCAAATTATTTACATTATAATCCTTATTCTATATGCTACTAAGTTTTCAAAATACTTAGGTTAGGGGCTAAAACTTTCTTTAGGAAACCAGTGTAGAAAGATGGACCCTGAAAAACATAAGGCATGTCCTTTTAATGTTTTTTTTTCAGTTACATTAGATTGCAACAATGCACACTTTCTGTTTTGAGCAAGAAAGAATTGACATTCAAAATTTTTAACTCAGAATAGATTTGGGTCTCACAGAGGGTTATTTTTTTTTTATGGCAAAGACATAAGAGTAGAGGTTCTAAGCAACAGAAAGTACCCGAGAGGATGCTTTGTGACTGTCTTGGTCATCTTTCTTTAATTCTGTTTAAGTCTGCCTTATTTGTGACTTCTCTGCATTTTCTTTCAGTAGGTGCTCTCAGTATCTTACAAAGATAAGTGTATGAGAATTTCTGTCTCCCTGCATTTTCAGAAGCAGGTACAGCACACTCCACTGATAAAGCTACTCTCTTAACAGTAACAGATTAAAAAGCAAGGCACTTTGATGCAACAGAGAAATGGCATATGAAATCAACACCAAAAACTTAGCAACTCTCCACACATAGTGACTTTACTAGACTCTATGTAGCTGTATAACCACAAGCACAAGCATCCAGTTACCATAGCTACAAGTGAAATTATGATCCTCAAATGTACCAGCTACGTGCCTGGGCAATTATGAAATATAGCTCAACAGATTTAGTCTTCCTTAGATTCTTGGCTTTTTTGTTAAATTGAAATTGAATTGACCTCAAGAAAACAAAACGTCAACACATCACTAGAATTTGTCTTCATGCTATTAAGACCTTCAAAGCTACTATCATTCCTCTCCTCATCATTCAAAAATTTTAGAATATTTATTCCTAAACTGGTTTTGGATTAAACCATGGTCAAAGTGGTAGGTGTACAAGCATTTGATCTGATGTGAACATAAAGAAGCCTTACGAATTTGTGTTTTGTTAACTGCTGTTTGCCCTATACTTTCCCTAATAAGTACTATGCAAAAGCTAGCCCTCCCAAGGAGTTAACGTACATGATGATGGGCTCACCAGCTGTTGCCTAACAGTATCTCTACCAGCCAAGCTCTATCTTCCCTTTAGTGAGAAAAAGGTCTTTTTCTTCTTTTGACCCACCGTCAAAAAAAAAAAATATTTCAACCCATTTTCAGTTTGGGATTGCTGTTTTCAGACATCTATTTTTGGCTGAAATTGATTAGTTGGTTTGGAAGTTATTGGATAAGACAAACAAAGAGACAGAATGACTGAACAACATGTAGTTTTTGGAAAAGTATGTCTGGAAAGGATTTTGGAAGAATAAACAAAATCGGTGTCTTGCTGCTTGAATCCCATGTAACTTGAGGAAGAGGGAATCATAGAGAAGAGCATCAATGAAATACATTGCCAAAAAATTCTTTCCCAAATCAAATACTAAATATTCAAATACTAATTTAAAATAGTGAATTCAATCCAATTGAATACTGAAGGGTTGCTAACCACCTTTATGAAACTTATTTCCTCATGATGAATGAGGAAATAGTCACAGATAATTAAATTAAGTTAAATGAAACAGAAGAGAACAAAAAAGAATGAAAAACACATTTCTGTTTTAGATATATTTACCACAAAATCACTGATGACTACCACCCATTTTTTAATGCCAGATTTATCCAGACACTCCTTTCTCTCAGTTCTTTTCTTACTTATCCATGCATTTTCCCAGGAAGAGTGTCTTTCTAGTTTTGACTATTACACTACCTAAATTAGTAATAACATTCACCCCCCAATATAAGTAACCGAAGAGTAACATACCCTCATGTTTCAAGGCACTGAAATATTCTTGCTTTATTTTAAACATCAGTTCTCGTTTCTCTAATTCTTCTGGGGTTATAGAAACTGGACTGACTTCAACTACAGGTGTGGTAGAAGGTGGTCCTGCAAGAAAAGAGACTACTGACACTCTTTGTACTTTGCTGGTGTATTCATGTATCTGTACACAGAGACTCAGATAGTATATTTTTTAAATGAAAAATCACACTTTCCACCTTACATGATGTGACCATTTATGAGAATACAAAGGAAGTTACTCAGTGTCCTATGTCAGCAGAATATATTTAGATTTGTGTGACCTTATAGTTCTGTGATTTCAGGTAACTTACCTAGTACCAAGTCTGGACAAAAATTAAGTTCCAAGAAGCAATCCATAAACCCCAGCTTAGCCACTTAGCATATGAGAGCTGCTGATTTTTTAATCACAAAGCTTTTCTAGAAATCTGAAATTCTGCTACTCTCTTGGCTGGATTGAGATGCTAAGCACACACCTAGAGCTCCCTGGGGCTCAAAAATTAGGTATCCATATGGCTAAGTATTTGCAGGGCTATACTTGTCCACTGTACTATGTGCAGAATCAGCCAGAGAGAGAGCACTGAATACAGTGCAAATAAAATGTCTACCAAAGCAGGAAAGTCAGCTGCTTTAGGCATAATAATTCAGCAGTTACAGCATTCTCACTTGAAATGGAGTACCTGAATTTCAGGCTACCCTTACACCCTCAGGGCTTGAGCCCCTCTCTTGCTTTGTAGAATGTTGTGGGAACTGTGCTGAACAGGTGGAAGATAAATTGAGACTGATCAAGGTTAACATTGGAATTTGCAGCATGTTCTAAAACAAGCTTCACAGGACAGGAGTTGATGAATGTGTGAGACGGTCAGGCTGGAAAACCACATGAGAAAGTGTGTGTACTGAGATGTGGCTGAAAACAGTCATGAGTGTAAATGTGCTAAGAAGCATCCTGGCTTATGTCCTGTGAAGCTTGATTGTTTTGAGAACACAAATGTATAAATGCTAACTGTGTGAGGAGAATGGAGAGGAATAGAAAATCTTGCTAATAAAGAAGCTTGGGGACAAGGGAATTGTGGATTCTTACTAATAATAAAGAAGCATCTTGCTTTACTCAGAAAAAGGCTCAGAGTCCTTTTTCTGCCCATCTTCATTTGCCACAAATGTCTTTACAAAAGATACAAGGTTTAGCCTTGCTTCCTGCT